GRMMWGGAGATGCCTCAGGATCCATTGCARCCTGGGCCCCGCACATTACTCTGCCCTTTCTTCCTTTCTCCAGATGTTTGGAGTCCATTTTGTTTTGAAATTGTCCTGAGCTCAGGCCAGAGCAGTTCGGGGCTGGCTCCCAGCCAGGGCCATAATGAGCTCCAGATGAGCGTGGCTTACGGGAAGCCAGGGATCCCGGGGGGCTCCGGAGGCACTGAAACCCTGCACTCACACCAGAGCTGMTCTCCCSATCCTGCTTTTCCKTGCCACAAAATTCTCCATYTGATGGCCCCTGTCAGAGCACGTTGGGTTGGTGAACTGATCCAGAGATGGGGATGGTACTGTGGGAGCAGCAGGCAGAGTGCTGTTCCCTGGTTCCTGGTTCACCTTGGGCAGGCTGGATGGGGCGTGTTCAGTGCTCCTGTACCAGGGATTTGGTGCAGGGAAGGAGGGAAGGCAATTCCATGAGGAGCCTGTGATTCAGAGGGATAAGGGTGGTGGGAGCACAGGGAACAGGGATAACGGTGGGAGCTCAGGGCACCCCCCAAGCACAGGGTCCCCTTTGCACCTGTGGTTTGTTTCTGGGCCCCACAAACTTCAGGTTCTCTGTCCCAGCCCCAGATTCCAAGGACAGCTTCTGTGAGAAATGAGGGTGTAAAGCAAGGCTGCTTCCAGGCTGTTCCTCTTGCTTTGTCATCTCCCTCCTCCACAGCCACTGTCCCTGCCTGGAACAAGACTTTGGCCATGTGTCAACATAGCGGGGAGAGCCCCTTGCTCCATGTCTTGGTCTCCCTTCCCATCCTTTCCTCCCCATCTCTTAGTGCTTTTCCATCTGGAGATATCCATGGGGTCTGGCCTCGGGGGAATGACAGGAGAGGAGAACAGGGGAAAGCMAGAGCACAGTGATCTCTGGCCCAGAAGGGCCCATGGATGTGGGAAGGAGCTGAAGGGCTCGGGGTGAGCTCTTCCCAGCACTTCCACATTCTGCTAAAACCCAAGGACATCATAAAAAGTCAATATCCCTTTCTTGTGCATAGGGAAACTGAACATACTTGGTGAACACTTATCTTGCTGTCTAACTAGGAAAGGTCTGTGAAGGAAAAACAARGGATTTTGCTTAGATCAACACCCCCCTTTCCCTTCAGGGAATCAGCTGCCTGTTCCCAGGAATCTGGGCACTAAAGAGCAAGTTGCTTCTGTGGGATCAGGACAAATATGAAGGGACAAAGGTGGGTTTTTAAAAAAAATCAGCAGCACAGGGCAGAAGCTGTTCCAGAGGAGAGCCATTCCTTTGGCCTGGATGTGTGTAAGCAGAAAGAAATGCTCAGGAGCTGTGAAACCTTTCCCATTTGTCAGATGGTGTCAGTGCCATTGGTGGTGTTTGTGTTCTCTCCCCCTGGCAGGAGGCAGACTGTGACCAGCACTCCCTGCTGGATCGAGCTGCACCTCAACGGGCCCTTGCAGTGGCTGGACAAGGTACTCACACAGATGGGCTCTCCCAGCATCCGCTGCTCCAGCGTCTCCTAAGGAAACTCCTCCTGAGATCCCGTGGGGGGAGCAAGGACTCTGGAAAACTCTTAGCAAAAGGCATAGTAAACAACTCCCCAGTTATTCAAGTGATGAGAAAAAAAATCTGCTTTAAAAAAAGAAAAAAAAAGAAGTGGGTTTTCTTCGTTTTGTTGTTGTTTCTTAAAAAAAAATACCCATTTAAGCCACTTCCACTGAAACTGTCGGCACTTTGGTTGGGATGCTTCAGGGCACTGCAGTTGGAATTTGGAGTTGGAGTTGGTGAGGATGAAGAGCTGRACATTGTTTCAGTGGAGAGCAGGCAGTGCCCGCCTGGCCCCGGGCAGTGTGAGCGCACAGGAGCCTTCCCAGCTCCAAGGAGACTTTCCCTTTCCCTCACACAACTCCAGGCTCAGGTCCTGCAGCATCCCGGGAACACAGACCCCGTGGAACTCCATGATGGCTCCTGCATTCCCTCACCATCCACCTGATCCTCACCCAGCATTGCAGCAGCAAGGGGAAGGAGGCATTTCAAGCASCCGAAAGAACTAATTCCCCCAGSAATGTTCCAAAAAGGAAGGGATTTYCCACACTGGACTTCCAATGAGGAGGCATTCTTGCATGGTGCCCGAGGGATGATGCCCTCATGGATCAGCCTGGAGTCACATGGAGCAAAAGGCCCAATTTGAGGCTCTTTKTGGTGTTGCTGCAGCGATTTTTGACTGAAGCTGCTCCCAGATGGACAATTGTCCCCAGCTGCTCCCAGATGGACGATTGTCCCGTGGGGAGTCTGCCTGGAGCAGTTAAACCTCTGTTCTCTGCAGTTGGTTTGCATTAACTACAGGAAGGCTGGGCTGTGTTTTCCCAGTGTCTGCCTTCCCTGAAGCCCGAGGGGCTCCACGGGCTCCGTGTCCAGGTGGAACAGGGATGGAGTGGCCAGGCCCTGGCTCCATGTGTGGAGCACCCCCTGGAGCRGGGATCTCGAGCTGTCACATGCAGCAGCCAGGACATCTCAGACACAACCACCCCTCTGTGTAAAACTTGTTCCAGCTGATGGAAATGCTCTARGATGTGTTTTTGCCTGGAGAAATTGGGAGAGTGTGTATTTACTTGTATTATAAAATGTTCATTTTAAACATACATGCTCCAGACTGTTTAATATTTTTTTTTTCCCTGCAGCAACTATCGTGGCAAACAACTTCCACAACTGGAAAAAACCCTTAGCACTTGTTTTTATGGTTCACATTTGCCAAATAAGTCTCATAACTTTGTCAGTGCTGTCCAATTATCTGTTTCTTTATATCTRCAGTGAATATCTTATGCATTTGTGCCAAAATATTAGAAGGGGAGGGGAGAAAGTGATAATCAGTTTCCTATGGAAATCGTTTTTTCTTGGTTTTTTTTATCTGTGAAAGACAAACAAGCTCRATGTGGCTGTGGGAAGGATGGACTGGGTTGGACTTGAGGATGGTTTTGATCAGGCTTTAGTCCTGCCAACTTCTGTGCCTCCAGGYGTGGGCAGCTGTGGGAGTGCCCTGATGGATCAAACGCCCACCAGGATTTCTGTGCGCCTGCTTCTCCACCTTCTTGTTCCTCTGAGGCCTCTCTGCAGCCTCTCCCTCCTGGTTTGCCAGACCCCACCACTCCTGGAGCTGAGGGGATGAGACACCACCCAACAGATTCCAGAGGCCACTGCTGCTGCTTGAAATGTGGATGAAGGGATGGTTTAGAGAGTTTCCTTCCACAAACAACAAATTGCCTTTTTTAAATGTGTGAAATTTAAATTCTGGGGAAGACTCTCAGTGGTGGATGATCCAGGCTCTTTGGAATATCCTCTGGCAGAGTTTGGACTGGAGCTTTTCRTGTGCAGCACAGCAGTAGCAGCTCTGGAGACTTTTAGGGTGTTTAATTTGTTACATTTTACAAGTGTGTCTGATTTGAGTTACAACTCTGACTGCACAGGCTGGGGCAAGAAGAGATCTGTATAAAACAGGATTTTTAGGGCYGTTTACAAAGGAGGTCTGTTGCCACCATGGATTGGTTCAGCATTGATGTTCTGATACAGGTTTCTAACATATCTGCAAACAAAAATTTATCCTTAATTATGTGGAAATATTTGACTTTTGGCTGTTTTAATGAGAGGGGAAAAAATCTGCTCTGTAAAATGGCCCCGGGTTTCCTCCRTAAGTGTCTTACTTGGTTACTTACTTTGGCTTATTTTGGTGACAAACTCTTGTTGTCCTCATTTAGAGGAAATTGGTGCCTCCTGTATTAACAACAAAAATTACACCTTCARTTCCAGAGTCAGGGATTAGAGGTGATGGTGTGAGAAGGAGCCAGCCTGGTCCAGAGGCCACGAGTGGGAATAAATCCTAACTTTAATATGAGGTTTGCACAGTTACCTCCTCAGCCAAGCTGCATTTCAGCTGTAGAGCCAGATCTACAGCTCCTTGCTRAAGGACAATTAATTGCTGACCATTATTAATTGAGGCCTTTTGAAGCCCAGGATTCAGATGATGTATAAAAACTTTGGTTAATCTCCCCTCATCATCCCTTAAGTCAAATGACTTGCAGTGGAAAATGTGAGCTGGCCCAGCRGTGCAGTGAGATAAAGGGCAGATAATCTCCCCTCCAGGATTCATTTAGTCTCTCCCCTTTGTTTGCTGCTCACTCATTCATGAAAGCTCTGTAGGTTCTGGAGTTACCTTAGACAGTCCATTAGAGTGGCTGGACAAAGGGAGGGCTGAGGCTGGAGCTGGGTGTGATCCTAGGGATGATCTTGGATGGTCACAGCTGCAGTGGTTGCAGAGGTGGAAGTGAACTCCCATTCCTGTGGCCACCGAGGACGGGGAGCAGGACCTGGGTTGGGATTGCTGGAGGCAGCGCACCCTGAAGGCGGAGGAGGCTTTGATTTTCTCTAGAACTTGATTAAAGCAGCTTTGGTGTGGAGCTCAAAGGGATGGGACCAGCCATGCCCTAGCTCAGATTACAGCTCCAGGCTGGAATATCCTCTAATTTCATGGCAGCCAAGGCTGAAATGAAACTCTCCAGGATTTCACACATTTTTGTTCCTTTGGAGTCAGTAGCAGGACCTTTGGCTCTTTACTGGAATAGCTGCACACAATGGCCTGGGTGCTGGCAGAGGACACCGCCAGCCCTGTGCTTTCYACGCCTCTGGTGATTTGTTTGTTGTTAATGTATTGAATTGCARTTTGTATTTTGTGCTAAGCTGTTTTAGAGGTAATCCAGTGCTGTGCATTTGATTTAATCTCCAGCAATCAGTGTGCATATGCACAATGATGGAAGAAATCCAATCAAAAGGCATTTCCCTGGAGCTCTGCCCYTTTGTGCCAGGAAAGGGCTGAGGGGACTCTCTGAGTTAGTGATGGGTTCCTCCCCCTTGGATCAGCCCCTGAGGACTYCTTTGGTGCAGGATATTCAGGACTCACCTCAAGCAGTAGGTGGTGACATCTGGGCCCTGTGCTGCTTCCTTACTGGAAAACAGGGAGAGCCCAGCCCAGTGAGGAATTTCAGCCATATCACAAAGCATCCAGGAGCATTCCTGGCTCTGAGGTACTGCATAGGCAGGAGGATGGGATTTCATGGATATGTTAAGCCAGTATGAGAACCAGGCCCTCTCCAGTGGTGGCCCGAGCACTGTGGTTGAGAAGTTCAGTGTTTTTTACTATGTACATGCTTTTGTATTTATGTGTCTTTTCTCGAATATTCAGATGAATTCAATATTTAATTTTTAGCAGAAGGAGCAATTAAGGACTCAGACTATTAAACCTTCCATCTGTTCCTTGCTGATGATTGCTGGAAATGAGGAGTTTCTGATGTGGYGACAGAGCAGGGCACAAAGTCCCCTGAGCCCTGGGGAGCCATGGTGCTGCTGCTGCATGAAGCTGGGTCCAGATGAGCTCTTTGTGCTCCTTGGGGCTTGATGAGGCTTTAAAAACCAAAACCTGTTCCTCCAGAACTGTTTGGGTCACCTTGTGCCCCTCCAGGCCTGGTGGGTTTCCTGTGTGCTCACTGCAGTCCGTGGGCCCTGGGGCAGCCCTCGGTGTCTGTGCTGGGGCACATCCCGCTCTGTCCCCCAGGATGGATCCATTGGAGCAASTTTATGTTTAGTGTGTAGAATTCCTCCCTGATTGTCCATCCCTGCCCAGCTGTGCCACCTTCTGCTTTCCCTTGGCAGCATTACTCTGTTTGTTACTCCAGGCCTGTCCCATGTACGCCCTCCCCTTTCCATGTGAAACTGTAAGGTCTGTTTTTGACATTTTAATAAACTTTGATTTGAAAACCAAGGCTCATRAGCAAATCAGGCTGTTGGAAGAAYGGGTCTAAAGACCCAAACTGACAAKTTGGGGTGTTGCCATGACAGGAAAATGGGAGACAGCAGCATCTTTAGGTTTGTGCAGTGAAGATTGTTCCCAGTAAAGCACACAAGAGCTCAGTGACAGGTAAAACCTTAGTTCTTTTTACAGCTGGGACAGTTTTGATCAAGAATTTAAAGCCAAATATATAAAAATAATTTTAAAATTGCTTTTAGTTCCTTTAACTAACAGGACTCAAGGGTGGGTGGGTTTTGGTGCTCCAAAGATTTATTGTCCAGTTGCTGGAGAAGTCAGCCATAGCTCAGTGTTCACATGTTCAAACAGGCACTGTCATTTCCCCAGAGGCCTGGGCACTGGGAAACCCTGTTATCAGCTCAGGGAATTGGGGAGCTCCATTACCAGCTCAGGGAATTGGGGAACTCTTATTATCAGCTGAGGGAATTAGGGAACTCCATTATCAACTCAGGGAATTGGGGAGCTMCATTACCAGCTCAGGAGAGCGGGAGCTGCAGAGGAACATTCACTGATCAGTGCTCTCCTGTCACGAGCAGACCCTGAATTCCTGTGGAGTCTCCGTGTGGGGGAACTGCAATTCCGTGCTGCAGACACGAGTCCAGCCCATACATCCTGGAGAAAAACCTTAAAGAACAGAGATTGCACCCACCTCCTCCCTGATAAGCTGCTCCATGGCTGCATTGTGTTCCCAGTGGAAAAGTTCTCCCGGTGAACCCCCCAGGCTAGATTTTTGGACATTGCTCCGTGCTGAGCCTTGGTCTCCACAGCAATGCTGCTGCCCCTGCGGCCACTCCCGGAGCAGAATYCCAGCAGTGCCATGGATGGAGGGTGGGCAGGGCAGGTGCCATCTCAGGGGACAGTGACAAACCCCTGGCATTCCATGGCCTCAGAGCGGGCACTGTCCAAAGAAGCCTGGGAAGGAGCCAAGGCACACCGCGATCCGTGCTGTGAACTCACGGCCCTCCCAGGGTTTCTCTGGAATTCTCTTTTTTTGGGTTGTTTTTCCTGACAGGATTTACGAGAACACTTTTTCCACTCCGGTGTCCAACAATGTGGTAATAAAGGGTCTCGTCCAGACTTTGTGCTGGGGCTGCCAGAACTCGAGCAGGCTGCAGGGAATCAGTGCTGAGCTGGGGGCTCTGCTGGCTGTCACCTGGAGACACCASGAATTCCAGAATCCCAGTCTTCACCACTGGAAACCGGGAATGGGAGGAATCAACAACCTCAAAGCCTCAGCCAAAAGGAGGGGATTGGCGTTGCCTGGAATTTGTGGTTCAGGCCAGAGCTGGATGACGGGGGGTTGGTTTGCAGTGGCAGGGAAGTCTGACTTCCCAGACCTTCACCTGCAGCCTGGCCTGGCCAGTAACACCAGAATGCCTGAACTGGGAATGGCAGCCCAGGTCTGGGAATGCTGGAGCAGCAATCAGTAATTCTGAAACAGGAGCTCCTTACCTGGGACAAGGATGTAAAGCCTGGAGGTGCCCCTGCCATGGCCTTCAAGGTAATTTCCAACCCGAACCATTCTGGGATTCTGTGGAAACCCAACTGGGGATTCTTTTTTTGTTGATACGCAAAGAGAAGCTGAGTGACAGACAGAACTTTCACGTTTGCTTTTCCACTAATGCCCCTTTTACTCATTTCTGTAACTTCTACATTTATAAAGAAATCCTGTAGCCAAAACCAAAGGGTCTCTTCAGAAAAAAACCCAAACAACCCACAAAAAAATAAGCCACCAGCATAGTAAACCTTCATTTTAAACCACAACACCCTCAAAGGATCATTATTTCCCAGTGTCTCCAGACACTTCTGCCTCCATGATTTGTGCACCTATGAACAAGACACATATTTACAATAAAAACATRTTTGAAAGAGTTCTGAATAGGGAAATTAGCTGCTGCTACCATGTAAAAAGGCAGCAAAACACTGGGTTTTAATTGATATGATCTCATTAAATTTAAACAGTCACATCTCTATCACATGTGTAAAGAAAAGGTTCATAAATGTTCAAGTCCATTGTTTCCTTCACTGCCCTCAATTCCATTCCCTTGGCACTTCACCATTTATCACCATTGCATAACCAAGATTTAGGAAGGGCAAAAAAAAAAAAAAAAATCTTCAGCTACCAAGAAGCCAACATGGAAAATCATTCCCTGCTTGGAATGAGCCCCCTTCTGTGCTGGGAATATGGAGAGAATGGGAGAAGGCAGAGTCACGGCAAGGCCCGCAGGTGGYTGGGAAGAGGTGTCCCTGGCAGGTGTTTCCTTGGATGTCTCTGTGTATTCCAGGGTRTTTCTTCCCAAAGTAGGTGTTTTATTGTAGGGGAGCTCCTGCTCAGGCTTTGGCTGAGAATCACTTTCCAAACTGCCAAAGAGGCTTCAGTTCTTGTCCTCAAATGCTGCAGTTTCGACCCAGGAAATGATTCCCAGCATTCCAAGAAATTATTATTTACATTMATCTTTGCTTCATCATAAAGAGAGAAAATGAGTTCAAGACCCACTGTGAAAGTGCCTCCAGAGTGTAAAGCCATCAATAACCAATGGCAAACCAGTATSTCAGGAATTTAGGGGACATTGGAAAAGTCAGTTTCAAAATTCCTAACTGAGGGTGCTTAACAGAGTGGATTTTCTGACATGGAAAAGTTATTGGAGCCAGACTCTTCCATATGGGAATCYGTTGGATCCTCTTCCCACTGATCCACTGACTGTGCCTGTAGCAGAGAAGGAGCCAGGGTGGCATTGCCCCCTTCCCCTTTCCACCACCTTCCCTCCTGTTTTCCTTCCTTCCATGTCCACGAGTCCAGCAGGTTCGTGCCATGTGCTGGTGTGGCAGGGATGGTGCTCAATCCCAGACAAGGCAATTCCTTCTGAGCCCTGACACTGTGAGACAGCCCTGTGTACCTGATGGACACATCCAGGGGCACTGAGGGGTTTGGAATTCCAGCGCTGGGAACTGGGGACAGCTCCCCACAGCAGCTCTGTGCATTCTGCAGGTTTGGACAGGGAATTCCACCCCTGGAGCAGCAGCAAAAATCTGTCTGGCAGCTCATCCCATATTTATTTTCTAATGGAATCCAGGGAGTGTGGACAACACCTGACATTCCAGGGAAGGTCCCTATCCTTACACAGACAAAATTCGAGCCCTGGGGCCACTTTTACTGGCTTTGGCACTTGGCAGGATGAAGCTCCCAGCCTTGGCAGAGCATCCCCCACAGGGCACAGCTCAGCACCCTCCTGTTCATGGCTCATCAAAATCTGCTCAGGTTGGACTGGGAAAAGCTCCACAAAACCATCCACCAGGCCTACAGCTGGAAAGTGGAGTTTGGAATTCAGAAGTCATTTCCCAACCCCAGCCATGTGTGCAGAGATAACTGGGAGCACRTTTGTTTATTTAAAGCCCAGAGAGGAAATAATAAAGATGTTCATTTGAAAAATGTGAACTCATTACTATTTCCTTGACCCACACATGTGCTGCCTTCCAAAGTTCTCTGAGAGAGAAGGAACAGTGGGACTAACCCTCTGGAGCCAGGAGGTGCTGTGGAATGTRGAACTTACATGGGAATGCTGTCACCAAGGAAAGCAGCTACAGCTAAATGGGGTTTTGGCAATAGACACTAATTGCAGGGAAGGACCATTCCTTTAGGATTGCTCTGGCACTCCCAGCTCCAGAGGAATTCAGTTTTCTTCATCCGAGGAGAGACCTTCAATCTCATCCCTATCTCCTCCAATTGCCATCCAGAAGGCTTTGGCCACCTGCAATGGTAAAAAGATGGGAAAGAGAGAAAATTCCTATCAAATGACTGAAAATTTTGTATTTCCCATCCAAAAAACYGAGCAGCAGCTCAATGTGGCAAGCAGGTTTGTGAAACACATCCTCTCTAAGGTGAAGGAATTTCAGCAACACAGAGRCAATAATTCAGGTCATGGGAGGCACCTGTGCTAATTAAAGCATCGTTGTATTTTCCAGATCAAGGTATTTTCCATTGATTTGAGGACGCTGGCCAGCACCCCCAGTGACTGGAGGGCTTTCAGCTCCAAATTCAGAAAGGGGACAGTCTGTTTTTTATGGCAGTGGGGTGGTGGAATGAGATGATCTTTAGGATCCCTTCCAACCCAAACCATTCCAGGATTTTATGTTTTCCTGGTGTTTCAAACTTCCAGGTTATTCAGTTTTCGGGAGATACCTGACAAGTCTTCCCTAGGACTGCATGGATGGTTCTCACTACTCTTAATCCAGGAACTCCCCAGGAGCAGAAACTGTGGCATAGAAAGAAAAGCCCCATTTTTAGTCATTCACAGTAATTCCCAAAGCTCACCTTTTCCGCATGCAGTTTTCTCTGTTCGTGAGGCAACGTGGCAGCTTTGTCTGTGGAGAAGAGGAGCATTTGGTTTGTGAAGCTGAGGAGTGAGCAGGGACACAAGCACCTCCTGCACCTGGATTTAGGTAACTCCAAGAGCAACATCTGCTTTTAACAGATGTTAAAAATGAGGGGGAAAGGAATGAGAACATGAGGGGAAAAGGAATGAGAAGAGCAGCTTCTCTCTTTCCTCATAAAGGACTTCAGGCAGGAGAACGGGAATTGCACAGCTTCCCAACTCATTCCTGGGTCTCATCTGAGCCTCTGGAGGAGGTGCCAGAGCTCAGGCCCATCTCTCCTGGTACCTTACCTTTCATTTCTTTAAGCTTCGAAAACAGCCTTTCAAAGTTCTCCAGGTCCCCATCTCTCGTGGTCAGGCTGGCCAACTCCTGGATGTCCATATCCAACATGGGATCTGAAATACAGGTTGGTTGAAGAGAAATTATTCTGGTGTATCAGCAGAAAATCCAGATTTTACCAGCTACACACTCTCATKTGCAAATTCCAACCCCATAGGAGAGAAAGAAACATTCAACTTACTGATTGCTCKTATAGACAAATCATGGCATCGTTAGTGGTGATTAATTTTATGGAAGGAATTGTTCCCTGTCACAGTGGARWGGCCYTGGCACAGGGTGCCCAGAGAAGCTGTGGCYGCCYCTGGATCCCTGGAAGTGTCCAAGGCCAGGGTGCATGGGGTTTGGAGCACTCTGGGATAGGGAAAGGTGTCCCTGCCCATGGCAGGGGTGGAACAGGATGAGCTTTAGGGTCCCTTCCAACACAAAATATTCCAGATTTTATGATACATTTGAGCTCATCCAATATTTAAGGCTTCTTGCTAGTTCCAGAATGATCTGTCTAGGAACAGCCACAGAGTCAATTAAAGAGTGATGACACTGCTCAGACCACAAATAACAACAAACCTTTAGCTCTCACACACAACTTTTAAGCAAGTCCCATCTCCTGGAATGCTGCAATTACTGAAGGAGTTTTCCTGGCTCTAGCAGTGCCTTTCTGCACCACTTTTCCCTCAGCGGAGCCAAGGGGGCTCTGTGGGCCTGTCCCAGACAGGTGTGGATGCTCCAAGCAGAGCAGAGCTCACCTGTAGCACTGTCAAGCTCCAGGTTGTTTGTGCCAGCTCCATCTTCTCCACCCTCAGACTGGGATCCTTCCCTGTCTCCCGGGGATGGGTTGGACTATTAGGAAATAAAGATATTGGAATATCCAATAATCCAGTAATGAAAAAGAGCAGCAGCAAATCAGGTGCTTCCTGCTTTTACTTCAAAACCTTACACTTTTCTCCAAGTGTTACTGCAAAACCTGTTCCATGAAAAGCCATTTCTGCAACACTGGAAACTGGTGCTGCATGAAGGGGTTTTGGGATAGATTTGTTGGGATTTTTTCAAATAACATCATGGAATAACTGTTTTTGTTTTGCCCAAAATCCTGCTCTTGGCTATTAACGAGATATATCCTGAGTGGAGCTTTCCTCTGGCTCCATGACACAGCAGGGAGGTCCCAACCACCACCCCACGGATGAGGGAATAGCCTGAGCAAAGAGCAGCAACAGGGAATTACTGTTTACTTCTGTCTCTGGGGTCTCTTCAGAGCCACGGCTTCTGTTTGCTCCTGCCAACGTGCTGAGGAGCCCRAAGCCCTGGGTCCTGTCTGAAACAAAGCAGAAAGTGCAGAATTACTGCAAACACTGGGACTGGCCAGGTGGGATAGAATATTTCAGGAAAGACACACAGCACCATGGAAAACTGTGCCAGTGCACTTGAAAATAGATTTTAAGCAGAAATTGTACATATTCTGTAAGCTTTAAACTGTATTAGCAATGTTTACTGCTAAATATGCCCCCAAGAAGAGATGTGTGAGCCACAAGAGATGTGGGATCTTTTCAATTCATATTGGAAGTCTCTGCCCTGTCAGGATCTGAGCTGGCAAATGTCTTCTGGTTCCAAACAAGGCATCTGGGAAAATCCAGAAGCAGCATTTGCTGTTCCTGGTGCTCGGTGGGGCAGGTTTAGCATCCATGGAAAGCAGCAGCACCGAGTTTGAGATTGGATTCTGGAAAGGCAGCAAGAGCCTGTACTCACACATTGTCTGAACAGGCTGAGCACAACAGCCATAGCAAAGGCTATTTTAAAATATCTAATTCAGAATTCCTGGATGGACTTAACAATCAATTCAGGCTTTCTTCTCACTGTGAGGTGCTTGGGCTTYCCCARGCTGCTGGTCTAGGGTGTATCTCAATGCTATTTTAAAACTCAGCCTAAAAAGCAATTTCAAACCTAAACCYAAACAGTCATCTAATATAATCAATGTGGTACAGTGTTTTTAATTTAAACCAGCTGCATTTTAAAACCTGGTTCATATAAAAATATGTGTACAATAGGTGATATGAAGAGGTGTTTTTTACTAAATCGAGTTTTTCAAAGGCACGCTTTACTACTCAATACAAACTGGCCTTGCACTGAGTAGTAAATATTTGCAGTTACACAGGGGACTTAGGAGACTCTTCTGCAAGTCTTTGTATTTTAGTCAACTAAAACTAAAATAATGTGAAGTTATTGTACTTGAAATAGCCAGGAAACAATGACTTTTGCCAGAAAAAGGCTTTAATATTACTTTTTAAAAGAAGTATGTTCTAAATTATTGCACTCATGACTAAGCTCTAGACTCAACTGTTGAGGTGATGTCATTTTGATGCTCTGTCCAAATTTCCTTGCCATTAATCCAGAATCTCATTTTGAGGGGTTGGATATGTAACTGAGCCCGTCAGGCATCCAGCACACACGTAAACACGTCTACACGAGAGCATTCCCGAGCCCTCATTTCCTGTTCCCTGCTCCTGCAGCTGATGTGCTCCTGCCCCATCCCTGGCTCCCCTCCTGCTCCTCTCTGCAGGTATTTGGGGCCATGGCTCTGGTTTATCCACTTTTACTGCTTTACCAGGTCCCTGGCCAAAGAGGTGGGAAGAAGTGAATCAGTGGAGCTGAATTAATTCCCTTAAAAATGTTCAGTTGCCACGTGAGGGCCCGTGAAGTCCATSAGGTCAATTACCAGGAACTGGGGGATAAAAGTTTGGGACTTGCATCCCAAAGCCCCAATTTTCATGGGGATGAGCAAAGAGCTTGTCTTTTGGGAAGCTGTAAARATGGACATTGAGCCAATTTCTGAGTCATCTCAGGCAGGGTTGGACACTGCAGTCCAGAATGTCCTGCAGAGAGAACATTCCCACATTGGCAGAGGAATGGATGGGGTGATCTAATCATGGACCTCGTTCATATCTGGGATTAGAGTTTGTCCTGCACACAAAAATGACAGTAGCCCCACATTCCCTGCTCCAACACTACAGAACTTCAGCCAGAAATATTACAAATGTCATCCCTTTCAAAAAGACCTSGATCTGCAGCAGGGATCTCTGAACAGCAGCTATTTGTCTGGAACTGTGGTTAGGGAGGAGGCAGACACAACACTTGCTTGCAGGCACACCCTTAAAAAACCCTGCCTATAAACTCCTTTTATTGGATCTAAACATTATTTCAACTTCTGGGTGCAATTCAGGAAGTGGGTGATGCCTTACACAGTGTTCTTATGGCAGCAAAGCCAAAAATTAGCTCATCCTACTTATTGGAAGGGGCAGTGGCTACAATGGATCTGGACTGCCCASAGMAGCTGTGGCTGCCCCTGATCCCTGGCAGTGTCCAAGGCCAGGCTGGAYAGGGCTTGGAGCACCCTGGGACAGTGGAAGGTGTCCCTGCCCATGGCAGGGGTGGAATGGCACAAGATTTAAAGTCCCTSCCCACCCAAACCATTCCAGATTCCATGATCTTATGCTCCATGTAATTTCACAGGTGTCACTCATGATGGTCTGAGCATGGATTCAGCATTCCCAGATTCTTGTTTCATAGCCAAGTGTTTTCCACTGCCTTTACCTATTATCTTCTCCAGTCTATGTCTAGCTRATACATGGTGATCCTTACATATAAAACTGGAATTAACACATCAAAATTCACAATTTGTTTAAATGGCCTTCCTAAATCAGGTTAATTTTGTGTAAATAGAGCCAGGCTCATTAGTGCCCCCACCTGAGTTTAAACARCTTCACCTGGGATCACTAAAACTGGGATTTAAACTGGGATTTAAAGAAGCCAAGCAGCCTCTTCCAGAGGGCTGGAAATAGTTATTCTTCTTGCCACGGAGGCTTTGGCAAGGACAGAGGAGGGCAACAGTACTGTAATACCTTTGTGGGAAAGGAGATGTGTTACCTGGAGAATCCCTYATGTTCTCCTGCACAATAGGAAGAAAACCTCTTGATGCTCAGGCTGAAGGGAGCTCTAAGGCCTGGAGAATCTTACCTGATGTAAAATTGATTCTAATTCAGCTGTGTTACATTTAATAACTATTTTAATGGGTCTGTGTGAGAATGATGTGTTTAATGGTTAGAGAAAAAACATAAAGCTCAACATTTTAACAGATGTGTGAAAACGTTASAGCTTGAGAGGAATTGTGTGGGGGCTTAATGCAATAAAATAATAAGGGTTTAATGCTTGTGCTTGAAAAAAGCCAGTCCTACTCCATCTGTAAATTTAAATTCTCAYAGAAAGAGGTTGTTGAATTAAGGCTACACCTAACAGTTCTATAAGCTTTTGCTACTACCCAGTTACTACCAGAACTATCTTATGCTCTCTGGAAACTCTTCCCTGCATGGTTTTCAACTAGCCAGGAATTGCAGGTCAGTCAGTGGAAAAGCAAAAGCTGGATTTACATAGCAGCCAGTTTGCCAGGATCTGGAGGAAGCTGAAAACAAAAGATATGTTACAGGTTGTAAAAAGTTTTATTTTAAGCAAAATGAGCTCAACAATTTCCCTTTGAAGGCACAGTCAGGCTGCAACACCTTCCAAATATAGCTCACTTCCTGAGGGGCTTGTGGTAATACATCAGTGCAGTGCAGGGTTGGTGCTGTGCAGATAGAAATTCTGGATTTTTCAAGGAGTCTGACCTTTACAGAACACACCAGTGATGTGCAGGAATTTCCCCCTGTGAAGAACTGAACATGTGACTAAATTCTKCTGTTTTGTAAAGTGCCATCTGCCCAATACAGGAAATATGTTTGAAAAAAACCACTTTTAGCACCAGTGAGATAACTTGACACCATCTGACAAGGTTACCTCGTTCTCTGCAATGGTTACACTGAATCAGACCCCACCTTAACCTCAGTTCTGATGGGGGATGAGAAATCTCAAAAAGCTGCATTAAAAATACAGTTTAATAATTCTAATCCTGGTTTTACTGCATCCCAGCAAGAACCTTGAAGATACAGAAATTAACAGCAGCCTTTCAGTTCTTTRCATCATTCCCTGGATCAGGAATAAATCTTTACACAGAATTTCTTCCCTGTGAGGGTGGGGAGGCCCTGGCTGAGGTTGTCCAGAGAAGTTGTGGGTGGAAATGTCCAAGGCCAGGCCGGACAGGGCTTGGAGCACCCKGGGATAGTAGAAGGGGTCCCTTCCCAMCCAAACCATCCCAGGATTCTCTGATAAACCTCACCCATTGCCTGTAAGTCTGAGGACACCAAGGGATGACGAAAGCAATGCCTGGACCCTTCCATTCCATGGGGAAGGTTCCAGAGTGCTCCAGCTCTCTCTGCACTGGTGCAGCAGCACTGCAGCTGCTCAGTTTGAASCCCTGATAAAACCCCCAGCCCTGCAGAGCTCAGGGCACAGCCCCAGTGGCACCTACCACTCTTCATGACCACGTTGGACCAGACGTTGGCATTCAGGGCCTGCACAATGCGCTTCACTCCGGTGGACTCGGGGAAATCATCTGCACCCAAACATGAAGAATTGCACTCGTAAAAATGAGTCTAAAACCCATGACATGAATCCAGAGGTGGGGCTGAAGGCCTGTCCTATTTTCTCACAATTGATATAGATTCTGTTTCCAGTACAAAACACAGATTTTTCACCTTTGCTTCGTGAGAGACCAAATAAATTTAAACTAATGCCTTACTTCTTGGGCTGAACTTCCAGAGATAATGAACTGTGAGCTCAGCATTTTGGAGATATCTTAATTCTTTTTATTAAATATTTAGCAGGAGGCCTACATTGCTAAGTAACATCTGAGTAAATTTCCTAGTAACAGACAAGGAACTTCAACYTCTTACCCCAAGATCTTTTAGAATGCTGTAGAGCATAAAAATAGATATTAAAATYACTTTTCCTTCCTTTATAAAGTAAAGCACTTGAGACAACCATTTAAAAAAGGGTGCAATGTTTGTAAAAAGTGGAATCGGATATTGTAAAGCTGTCCCTACAATATCTATCTTCGAATGTTCCAGTAATCCTGGGAATTACAGTGAACTGGAAGCCCAGGGAAAGTATTATTCACATTTCAACTTATTTASTGAATAGATCTGACACCACTTTGTATCAAGTCAGTTTTCCCATTTCCTCAGTTTAGTCAGCTTCCCATGTTTGTGCAGGTTGACAAAGGGAAAAAAAAAMCCCCAAACAAYCCTTTGGATACAAAAATGTCATTGTTTAGAAATCAAACTCAAGTGACTCAGGGACAGGTGCAGCAATTGAAACAGCCTTTAAAAATGGATGTAAAGCTTAAATCAGAAGTTTAGTCCTCTGTGGTGCTGCAGTTTGGTTTGATAGCAGAGTCATTATCAAGAGTCTCAGTTTAGAGCTCTTGCCATGACTGTGCAAACAACTGACAGTGAGTCAAAGCAAAAGTTCCAGTTTATTTGTGATGAGCTGCCTTGAAATGTCAGAATTTTGAACAGAGATTGGCCCAGTRTGTTTACAGCATCTGTTGTGCCTTTTGCAACTCTCCCAGAATGTTTGTGGGGTAAATAAGATACTCACTGGAACACAGTTCCTCCTCTGCATGAGTCACAATGAATCAGATTAAACAGTTAGGAAAGAACATGTATCCTAATACCCAAAAATTAACATCCTGTGTTGTTATTATTCCTATTTACTTAAATGGTAAAGACTTCRTTCTTTACAACAATTATTCAATAGAAAAATAACTTGATTTARTGTCACTGGTATTTTTTAAAGCATTTAATATTTCTGTAGTCTAAGGGGCCTTCACTTCTGATCTTCATAGTTTCTGTGAATCAGAACCACTTGTGTCCCTACCTCCTTAACTTAAAAAATAAAAAGAAACACTTTTAAAGCATGGTGGCAAGAGAGAGAGACTTCTCAGCTACTCAAGATACAATTTCAGTAGGCCTTTAAAGGGGGAAAGGGGTGGGACATGTTCTAGCTGAGAATTTCATAGTGAATTATTTTTGGTGCCAGCCATGTGCACGGAGAACCTGAAACAGAGCAAATGTTAGTGACTAATTCCACACCAGCCTGGAAATGTGCTCAGTTATCTCTTTTTGCTCTAGAGAGGTAAGGGGTAAACACTTTTTTGTATCACTGAAGTCAGGAGATAAGGYTGATGCTGATAAGGCTGTCAGGAAATGCACAGTCACTTTTCAAGAGTGGAACATCACACTTTGACTTTCCTCGCTGGGTTTTTGCTCAAGTTATAAATGTATGGGCAGCCAGTGATTCTGAAACTGGTTTATTTCCTGTGTAACAGCTCGTGTTGCTCTGAAATGGCTTTAATAACCTCCCATTTTCAGGCTAKCATGTCACTGTTTGTACCAAGAGAGGACAGATCTATAAAATAGTTTTAAGTCTTTTCAAAACAAGAWTTTTTCTGCCCTTCTGCAGAAAAATGGTTCTTTAGATTTATTTTCCAAGTGTAATATAAACTTCTAATGTATCAATAGAGTGCTAGGGGTAGTTCCAGAAAAAGGAGCAGATATTATTTTTACGTAGGTGCTACATAAACAGCAGCTGGATTTGGGAGGGGACAAAGAGAATTTCTCAGAGGAAATAACCTCCTCCTCCTCCTGACCTTTTATAGCTTAGACTAAGCCCCACCAACTGGGAGCATTTCATGTTGTAATCATGTGGCAAACAATTGCAAGGGGCATAACTTGCTTTAAAAGATACTTTGGTGCACTTTTTCATTCTCAAAATTGCAAGAGAAGCAGCAGACCTACCGTCTTCATCAGGTAGCTCCTCAGGGCTGAGCTCTACCAGCTCAAAGCCATGCTTGATGCACCATTCTTGAGCCTTCTGTCTGTTTACACCTAAATTGGGAGACAAAAATGGGTATTAAAAGTGCAGATTTGAGACCAGTATCAGTAGYTGAATATTTAGCTATGTTTTATTTTCTCAAGGTTGTTTGCATGTTCTGGATTGTATGGGAAAGAGTATAGCAGCTGGCATGGATCCTCCTTTCACTCTGGATTCCAAAAATACAGAGTCAAAATTCTCCTTGGAACTGAGGAATAGAATCAAATGGTTTTGSAGAGTGTACCCACAGGGCAGTGTAATGGGAATGAAGACTTCTGTTAACTCTGGATTTGACAGTGAATTAAGCTACAGGAACACATCTGCACCTCACAGCTTGCGGTCATCTAGAACCAAAGCAAACGTGAGAGTTCAGTGTCCAAATAGTCAAAAAAATGGGATGAAGCAACCAAGTCCTCCCCATTTTTCAGCAGGAGTCCTGCACACCCAGCAGTAGGGATGCCTTTTAGTCCCTTGCAGTGGCTCACTCTGAGCAAGCTGGTAAAATTCTGATTCAGCTCTAACCACATCCCACTGAAGGTTTCCGCTCCTGCTCCCCAGAGTCACCGAGCTCTCCTCTATCAGCTCTCCAGGCCAGTCTCACTCAGACATTCTGAGAAATAGCTGTTCATGTAACTAGAAAGCCAATTATTATGCAGGTTAATGACTCTAAGTGAGGACAGAAGTGCTTTGGCTTTCTTACCATTCTCAGACACTCTGTTACAAACCAGGATCATCACTTCTGGCAGCCACTCTTCTGTCAGGGGAAGCCATTCGGAAACACCCTGCAGTCCAGTTTTCTACAGAGGCAAAGGAAAAAGTTCCTTGGAATAGATCCTCAAATGTATTTCATTTTTTATAGTATTAGAACAAAATTATGTAAGGGAATATGCTTTTGTTTTGTCGCAATCTTTCTGGTTTCTACTAAAATAGCTTTCACTGCTGCTGGTTTAGTATTAACAACTTTGGGTAAAATGCATTGAATTTTATGTTTAACTCCCTAAATCCTATCCTAAAGGAGCCTTTAAGAAGCAGCACCAGCTAAGAATAAAACTGGAGATGGTTGGCTGGAAAAGGATTTACTTTAATGACATACTGAATCCTGAAAACTCCTCTTATAGCTGGAGTAGAGTAGCAAGAGGGAAGGAAACTGCTGCTATTCTTAGCAGGGAAATTTAACATTGATCTTTGCCAATTAATAGAACAGCCAAAAGGGAATGCATGGCACAGGATGGAGAATCTGATTTATGGTTCTCACTGTTGATAAGGCAGCTACATCACAGAGATAAAGYAAGAGAATGAAGCAGCAGAGTCTTACTATTGTGCTGTCGAAGTACACAACAAATGCTTGCACGGACTCAGCAATCTCTGCAGTCACATGGAATGTGTTTGGGACCACACAGAGGTGGATATCTGCAGAATAATATTTGTTATCTATCGTCCAGGGGTAAAAATTCACTCTTCCACTTGTAATTGCACCCACAGTAAGGTCATCTTTTCCTGTGATACCTGGGAAAAGGAGAGAAAATGAATGAGGATGAGAAAACCAGAATTAAGAAAATAATTTGTCTAGAAAAGTACAGTGCCAATGTAGACCCATCTTTACTAYAATAAACCAGTAGATACTCAAGGTCTTTAAAAATTCAGCTCATTTGGTTACTCTGTCGTATATTTTATTGCTTAGCTTTCAAAGGACTTTATTTTCTAGTCTCAAAATCAAATATGGCCCAAAAGCTCTGCAGAAAACCTTTTGTGTTCTTGGAAATGCCTTTTCAAGTGTTAGCCTCAAAATTAGCACCTGTAAACAGGATGTATGGAGAGAATACTTAATTACAACTCTTGCATGCTCACTGAGATGTAAAGACCTGTTTAACTGTGACCAAAACCTTAAGGTAACTAATGGGAAAATAAASCCAGTGCCTACAATTCAGTTGTAATCCCCATTAAGTTCCATGTAGGAGTTCAGCAATTAAAATCCAAGGCAGTGCTTTGCTCAGGTGCTGTCAAACACTTCARGGTAGGAACCTTCCCAGGAACACTTCTGGCACAACAGCCACCTCCTGGAGCTGAATTAGAGCTGGAAGCAGAGCATCCCATTATACCTTGAGGGAAAGGCCAGGATATCTTGTTCAGGATGGATAAACTCATGGACACTTTGAAATACAGGTCAATTATTTATAAAATGGACTGAGTCATCCAGAATTGCCTTGGGCAGCAGAAGAGTTAAAGCATAAAGTACATGGCTTTTCAAGGATTTGTATTTTAAGGTACTGAGAGTTCCTGGAGCTGSTGGAACAGGCTGTTCCCCAAATAGTCTGGAGACGAATTTGAATTTCTGTATCTTATTAGCAAAAGACAGGAAAACCTCCTTGCCAAGGTTGCAATGATTTTTACAACTAAACTGCAAAAGCTGAGAAAYAGATCTGGTGAATGAACACAAGGCAGTGAGAGCTGTATACCAGGATTATCTGCAGCCCTGAGGAGGAGACAAGGAATCTGAGGGAGAAATGTGACCTTGGAAACAGAAACCTGTAGCCATTTCCTACTTAAGAGGATGAAACAGGAGTCTCCTCTCTGGGTTTCTTAAAATAAAAAAGTGCCACATCTAAATGCTTYTTCGAGGTTCAAGTTTTATTTTACTTTCATTTGGATGGCAATAGTTTTCACAATAATTGGTCTTTAATCAGATGWTATTCCATGCTAATATTACTCACATCACCTTGGAGCTGGGTGACGATGACCCTGAGTCACTACCAGACAAACCTGGAATCTGAGCTTTGCATTCTCAGAAGTTTTGTTGGAAGGTTTTGAAAATGATATAAATTTCCCTTTAGCAGCGTTTTGACAACTAAAAATAAGTAACTAAATAAAAATTAGTCTAAGCTAACAGAATTACAAGTCAATGCTACAAGAAGCTAAGAATAAAGGAGTCCATAGAAATCACTGAAACCCAGAAAATCAGCCRTAAGACTTAGAAAGCCAAAGGGAAGAAAATGGGGTCAGGAAAGGAAATCAGTTCAAAAGTCACTTGAGTCAYTCACCCTAGCAAGGATACAAAAGGAAAGAACTTCTACAAAAGATTTTCAGAAGCTGATACGAATTTCATATTTGCTTTGTAAATGACATTTTTTCCAGAAGTGTTCGTGGACAAATTTAGGTCTCAAAGCACTGTTAAACGAGGCCATGTCCCATTTCCTATTACCTACTATTTGTTCTGTATTTTAAGGGGTTTTCTTTCATCCCATTGTGCTGCTGATTACCATCCTCATCCCAAGATTTTGCYAATTCCCTGTGAAATTTCTCTCCTAGTAAAAATGGATATTGCACACTAAACTCAAAGGGCTTCAGGAACTTTCTGAAAGGATTCAGATTTGCTGGGTCTCAGGATGCACATGGGGTTGTAAGAAATGATTGCACAACAGCCTGATCACTCCTGGYAGGAAACTGAGCATCTTGTCAGGAGCTCTCTCCCAAAAAAGTCACTTGGAGCAATTAGATTTTAGTCTTTAGAATAAACAAGAGACTWCAAAAGAAATACACACTGCAATTCAAACTGAATTCTCATTTTATGCAGGAATTAGTTTTAAGGCTTATATTTAGCACCTCAGCATTCCAGAAATTTCTTACCAAGACAGCCTGAATTTTAATGAAAGAAGGAAATTCAGCCAGAGTAGTCTGGTATCTGATTTAGAGAGCATTGATGAGAATAAACTCCTAGAAAATTAATATGGCAAAAGGAGGTGGTTTGTCCAACTTAGCCCTTATAAGYAACTTATGAATGAGTTACTCCTTTTTAATACTGAACTGCTCAGCCATTGAAAGTGTCAGTGGTTTGCCATGCAAAGAGCCTGGAAAACCAAGTGAGTCACTGCATGACCACAACAGGAGTGAGGCTGCTGGGCTGGTCCCTCTCCGAGAGCACCAGTAGCTCTCTGTATGACAGGAATGCAAACACACTCCAGCTGCATCACCACTAAAGAGCACTAAAAGCACACATGGAAAAGTTCACGGCACTGAGAAAGCTGCTTGGTGTCACTCAAAAACAGGATTGAGAGGTCAGGGTTCCCTGTGAAGTCCTGTGACTGCTGGACACTTATTGCACTSAAATAATGGTTACAATCCAAATGGAGACATCCTGGATTGGTRTCCCACACTGTATGAAAGCATTTGGAGCAGCAGAAGCTGCTTCACCTACAGGAAATTATTTGAGACCATTTTTGTCTGCTCCAGTACCATCCCKGGGTCATGACCTCCTGCAACCAACAAAGCCCTGTACCACACTAACATCACCACATTTCTTGGGCAATTCTCCTTCTCCAGTTTATCCCATGACTGATTTTGCTCTTTTTCTATCAGAAAACCATTTAACAACAAAAGTGCAACTGATACACGAGATCAGAYCATGGCTCAGTCCAGTAATTGATCCTGGCTAGTGTCACAAAGCTCCAGGAACTTCCAAACTTCTTTGGAATCTATGCAGAGGAAAAGGTTTCATTACTTCCAGGCAGTCAGTTACTGGTTTATCTTTTTCAGCAAGTTCACTGAAACTGTCTGTCCCCCTTCTTCACTCACAAGTATTTTTGATAAAGCAGACAACAGTTAAGACCAATACATTTGGAAATTATTTTCAGCTATTTGCAYAAAGGTTTGCTCATTTTACTGACTTCTTCTTATAAAAAAGTAATATTCTTTCATATAGACAAGATAAATAAAGATTTTGAAAACAAGAAAGAACATGGCAAAATTGTAAAACCTCATATCCATTCCCATTTTAAATTCTGTATCTAAGTCTTCTGAAAGTGCAAATTTTTTTTTCAAAAGGGGTTTTGAAGACCAGAAATAGCTTTTCAAAAGAGCTTATTAGCCAAAGAACCACATACAGCTCTGCTGAAGTAACATCCCTGTTCTATAATGCCCAAGTGGTATTTAAGCACCTCTAGCACACTGTATGATATTTCTTTAAATTATTAAAATTCTTTTGCAGTTTTTTCCCCAAAGGGATTAGGGTATTGACCACTCTTCACAGTGTTTTTCAGATTCAGTAAATGCTGTGAGAACTTAATGCCCTAAATGCTCCCGCATCCTCAGAGTTGTCAGGTACATGGAGAAGTTCCCACATTCTGGGCCTTGAGAGCCACCTGGTGGAACAAACCATAAAAAATACCCCTAGAATTACACCAAGGAGTAAAGAGAACCCAAATATGCTGTGAGGGAGGAGGAGAGTGCTAAAAATCAGAAATGAGAAGAAGAACAATTACATCCATACAAAAACTGTGAAAATCCTGTTTGCTGTTTTAAGTTGTGATAAATGCATCATAATAATAAGAAACTGATCGATCCTGTGCACTTTAAATAGCTTTGTTTTGCCACAGTATTCCATGAATTAAAGCATTCAGAGCATCCTACAGATACCTGAACAAATCACAATATATCTAGCAAATGTACCATTAGATGCTTCTCACCTTCAAGCCATTTTCTATTTAACACAAAGAAAACTGGAAAAAGTCTTGGAAGGTTTCATCCCACCAAACCCTTCTCATTGCTGCCGTCCCCACCAGTATGTCCTCAAATGTTTTACTATCTGCTGCATCTGATTTAATTTCACTTGTTATACAAAGCAGTGACTTCAAATTGGTATTTATTGTTGTATTTGCTGTTGTTTCTTTTAGAAAGATTTCACTGTCCCCTGTGAAGTAACCCAGAGAACACACACACAAACTATAAGACTCCCGTTTCAGTACTGGGAACAGTGCAAGCTGAGACACTTTAAAGTGAGTACCAGTTGAAAAAAATCTGAACTTAAATTATAAGACTTTTATCAGATTAAATAGCTTTTTTGTTCACCTACCTTTTCTACCTGTTCAATTTCACCATGCAAAATAAACAAAAGAAATCCTAAGGAACCTTGAATAATTCCTTCCAATTTGCTTATACCTTCCTCAAAAATAAGCTACAGCCCATAATAATAGTAATAATAGCAATTTTTTTGGTGTGTGCAATCCTAAAACAATTCAGTGTCACCCAGCTGCTTTGACRGAGGAGCCTTTGAAGACCTTGTACTATTACTCTTGTTTGAAAATGTGGTTTAATGAGATGGAAGGTGCCTGTCCCGGGGCAGCCCTATGCTTGGTGAGGTCCCAATTAAGAATCACTCAGAAAGAAATGAAAGCAAATCCAGAGAAGGGATGAAGGAGTTAAATTCTGTATCTCTGTGTACAAAGCAAACTGTTCAAGAGTTCCCTAAAAACCAATGCTATCCYAACATGGGAAACCCACTAAGATCTGAAGAGCTTCTCCTTAGAATCCCCTTTATTTTAGAATTACTAAAAAATTCCACCATGGTTTCCTCTACTATCTCTTCTTATGTTCCGTTTTCTAGCCATTAAAAAAAAGGCAAAGTTTCCAGAAAAACCACTTCCTACAGAATAAATTCTACGTATTTGGTAAGATCTGTAATCTGCAATTCTAACAACTGCAGAACAGAATTTTTAGCTTTCCCTTTCAGTCCTTCCGCATGGAGAAATGGATGAATTATTTCCTTAAAGCACTAAGGAGGCTCCTGACACCCTCTGGGAAGACTCGGGGGCTGCAGGGGGTGCGAGGCTGCCCTGGGTCTGGTGCCCTAGGGGAGAATTGAGACTCTGAGGGGAGGATTGAGACCCTGAGAGGAGAACTGCGACCTTGAGGGGAAAARTGAGASCCTGAGAACTGCGACCTTGMGGGGAAAAGTGAGAGCCTGAGGGAAAAATTGAGACCCTGAGGGGATGGCAGCGACCCTGAGGGGAAAACAGCCACCCTGAGGGCCAGGGCTGCAGGGAGCCATTGCCAGCCCCATTCCCGCGGGCGCGGGCAGGCCGCGGCCCCKGGTTCCGCCCGCGCGGGCGCCGCGRCGGCCCCGACTCACGTTTGACGAGCTCCTCGGGCTCGAAGCCCGCGGCACAGCTGGTGAGCAGCGCCAGCGGCCGCGCTGCCGCCGCCATGGCACCCGCGCCGCGCCGCGCCCCTTCCGCCGCGCCGCTACCACCGCTCGCGGGGGGGGCGGSCAGGGGCGGAGCCGGGCTGAACCAGGCGGAGCGCGGTCTCGGCCCCCGCTGGATGCTCTGTCCCCCCCCCGCGGCGGGGCGGATGGTGCTGCCCGGCCAGCGCGTCTCGTTGCCGGGTGAGGCGGTGCCGCCATGGCCGCGGCGGGAGCGGGACCGGCACCGGGCTGGTGGGTCCGGACAGCGCCGGSACCGGCACCTCCCTCCCCGGACCGGCCTCTCCTGCCCCGGCAAAGCAGCGGGGACATCCCGGGTTATCCCTCAGCACCCCGGGTCACCCCTCGGCTGAGGCGCGGCGCGGCCCGATGGTGCTGAGAGGACGGGGGAATACGGGGGGGTTCGGCCCTGCCTGAGGGGGAGCGGCCGGTGGGTGTCGGACCAGGGCTKGGGCTATAAGTGCTGCGGGTTGTGAGACCTCAGAGTTGTTTGTTTCATATAAATACGCGGGTTTGACATGAGGTGTGACACCCATGGTGTGGGTTCTCACAGGCTGATTGGAATTTTCACTCCTTATTAAGGCTTTTGAGATCTCTGTCCCGTGAAACCCCCCGTGTCATGAGAGGTGTGTGAGATGTGTAAGGAAACATCATTCATTTACAGAGAACCTCAATCCTGAAGTTTATKGTCACTGCTTTGTAAGAGTTGTTTTAAAATTGAGGTTTTTCCAGCCTTTCTACAGTCAATGACTKTAAGTACTTGGCTTTCTAGTCTCTAATTTATAATAGTACCAAAGTGTGGGAAGTCATACATATATTTTTTCCTGTGTATAGGAATAATTTAATTTKAATTAAATCCTTCTACCTAACTCCATGGGGTTTGGTTACAGGTATGATTTTTGTCCTAACTTGTTTTTTAGATTCAAAAATATCTTCAGAAGCTTAAAATGGAAAATACCAACTTGAAAGGAAGTGCAGAAGCCACGGATATTTGTGACCTCAGAATGGCAACCGAAAGAACTGAACTTGGGCTCAGAGTAAGTAAAATAGAGCAGATCCAGAAGATAATCCAGTTTTTTAAGTCTTTGTCAGTAATTCACTTGGGCTGTGTATTTGGCATCCTGCAAGATCCCTTTCYATATAGCAACTGATGGGATTACTCAGACACTACAGTTCAGAATGTTGGCTCCCTTTTTTGGGTGATCAGAATTAACTGATCTTGTGCCCCTGAGCCAAAATCAGATTTTTTAGTCCAACAGTTGCCCAAAGTTTATCAGCTTTTCAGTCAAGCAAAGATCTGGATTGCTTAATGAACTGAATTAAATAAAATTAATATCTCTTAACTCTTTGTAATAGTCTAAACATCATTTTTTCCTCTAACAGAAACATGCTGAAAATCATTTAAATATTGTAAACAGACAGGAGCTAACTCTTTTTTCTGCTGGTAATAAAGAAGTAAATTCAAAAGAGCTCTCTAAGTGGTAAGTGAAACATGTTTTATTGCAGCAGGCCATAAAAAATATAGTGACAGAATCTTGTATAAATAAGTGGGAGTATTGACCTAGATGAAGTTAGTTTGGTTATTTACTTTTTTGGGTTTATTTGAAGTTTTAAAAAAAACCAAAACAAAGCTAAATGCAATTCTAAGTTGCTCCAGCAGTGCTCTACTAACTCCTGTGACTTTACTTTTGCTAAATGCAAATCTAAATAAAATACAGTCATTTGGACTGAGCTGGATGAAAGCAGCATGGGTTTAATTGGGGAAATCTGATTTTTAGAAACCTCAYTGTTTCTTTCTCAACCAGGGGCCTTCCTTTTGGTGCTTGTCAGAAGCAGCTGGTTTTGCCTCGGGTTGAGCCTGTGACTGTCCAGAGGTGCAGCAAATCAGCCYCTCGTGTGTGCCAGGGCTCTCAGGTCTGAAATCACACACTAATTTTTCTGCCAGAGACCACATTCAATGAGTATTTGCTGTCTCTTAGTTCATTGGTACATCCCATAATGCTCTAACCCACCATGAATTCAGGTTTTGGTAATACCCCATGACTGAAGGTGTTAAAAAATTCTCAGTAGAAGGAGCAGGTGAGATGGGAACCTTCTCCCAGCCCAGGATAACATTGGGAAGGATTTCAGTATCATCCATGCAGATGTGGAACTGGCACTTTCCGCACATCTAAGCTGACAAAGTCACTTTTATCAGGTGTTTTTTTATTAATCATTTCAATTCTTGTTATCCTGTGTGGCACTTTCCCTTCCTGTTAGTTGGAGTGGGGAGAGTTTGCATTGGGAATCATCCCCTGTTTTAATTGAGAGGGTGCTCAATTTCCCCCAGTTCTATTTTAATAGCACCAGCAGTTTCCTCCTTGCATAAAGGTGTGTTATAGTAATAAAATAAATACCACAAAAGCACTGATGAGGTGAAAATTGAACTTTCTGTCTCTGTGCAGCCATGTGGGTAAAAGAGTAATTGGCTTGGATAATAACTTGTGTTCTTACAACCCCAAATCTAAATGARCATCTCATTGATACATCTGCTTGTAATTACCATCAAAAGAAGAGAGAATATCTTGTGCAGATAAATAAATTAAACCAGTTTTAGTGCTTTCACAAAATATACAGTTATTTAATAGTTCAAATACGCATCTAATGGCTCTTGAACTTTTAAGAGCGTATTTTATTWGTGAAAATTGGAATTTTCCTGGATTTATTTTTACATTTATGCAGTAGAAGATGCGCYAAAATATTTTCAGCTAAGGAAGCTTTTACTGTAATAAAAACCTAGGGCATCACTCTGGCTTTTATAGGTGTGCTTTAGGTATTTCTTACAATGAGAAAAACTTAKGAAGTCTTTTTCTGTCTATTGGGATTTAAATCATCATGATTTTTATTAGCAGAATAGTTGAACTCATTCCATGCAGATCACACAGTGCATTAAGAACTACTATGTTTTAATTCTGATTACTACCAGGATTTTTTTATTTCCTCATTTACTAATAATCAAGTGTCTGCRTTGAGTCAATGAGCTGTAACTGATCCAGAGGAGCTGTTCTAGTCCATCAGGTCAATGATTCCTGAATTCCAGTGTCTGGCAGACACAGCCAAGGTAGACTGGATCCKTGTTATCCCCTGTGAGAAGCACAGGGAACCTCCTCCCAGTGGATGGGTTGTGTGTAAACCACAGCACAGGGACCTGTGCTGTTCCASGAAGTCAAACCTGACTGGCCTTTCCACTCCAAATTTAGCTCAAAGGTGTGCAGGTGTGGAAATTTCAGAGCTGGGAATGGAATKAATTGAACAAAGTCTGCAAAAAAGTGTGTGTTTGGATAGTAGTTCGAGTCCTTGTAAAGCTTTTCATCTAAACAAAGGCACTTTGTTGTTTGCCCAGTTCTGTGTGGAGTCAAATAATACTAATTTTATCATTATTTTGCAGATATACAACATTAGACAATTTCTGTTTCTAAGTACTTCAGCCCCAGCGCAGTTATTTTAAGATTATCCCTATTCTATATTTCAGCAGCAAGTGGAAATGGATTTTAGAATTATGCTTGACTCAGAGAACTTGGATAGTAAAGCTGCTTTAAAACATCCCAACAATGAGACCAGGCTGCCACTTATAACCAAGAAAATATCTGCTCCTGTAAGTAACTTCTATTATTTTATGGGTTTATTATATGTAGTTTTGTACTATTGCCATTAATATGTGTCAGTCCTAAATAAAACATATATGTGAAAGTAATTGCCTCATAATTTCCTGCTTTTTTGGCATGAATATATAAAGATCAAAATATACTGAGTGATAATACTGGGGAAATCTGTAATGTAGCAGGTTATGTACCAAAATCCCAATCCAGCAAAAGTGTGGATAAACATGGGAATGTGCATAGTCAGTTACCTCAGGAAAATCAGGGAGGGCAGATAAACTGGAGCTTGGGCAGTTTTGGATGTAATCCAAAGATCAAGGAAAAATTAAAAGCCCATTCTTTTCTCTGCTCTGGAAATGTTCAAACTGTGTTAGGATCAAGTTTGATTCTTCCCGATTTCTGTGCTGCAACTGCAAATTTCAGTTCTGCTGCCAATTCTGCAATTGTTCTGCAGCAGTTGAATGTGAAGATGGTATTTTTAGCAAAGTATGCTTTCAGAAAAAAAAAAAGAGTAGGCACAGCCATCCCTCCAAAAAATCAATTATGTTCACAAATTTAGCACAGCACTTTGGTCCACACACCCAATGGTCTCACATGGGGATGCTCTTCTACAATTTAATTTATGTGACAGAAGCATCCTGCAGCAAACCCAGTGCTCTAGGAAAGATTCTGGGGTATTTGGTTTTAAACAACATAAAGAGAATCTGTGAATGGCACAGTTGTGAGCTGCCACTTATAAAAAATGATTTTTGAAAGCTGTTGCCCAGACTAAGAGGTGATTTGTCTAACCCTRTGATAATAGAGTTAATTAGAAAAAAGCATCATGGCTAATAGCTTTTTAGAACCACTCTAAAACACTCACAGAGAGGAATATTATCCTACTGCCGAGAGCCATGTGTTTTACCACTCTCCCTGAAACATGCACTGAGCACAGAAAACTTATTGGGGACTTAAATTACAAGCATTTAGTGGGAATTAGTCAAGCTCCCAGATACATATTTACAGTTGCTGAGGAGTTGATGGGCTAAAAACCAAACAGCTATTTCCTCCCTAATTTATTCTCTTCAAAGYTTTCGAGTCTTGGAGCACAATGTGGGGCTTGGTACGTTCTGCCTTCTCTGGCTGTAAAATTTTCGCAGTTATTTGCAGAATCCGCCGCTGAGATGAGTTTGTTGYTAAGGGTGGTGCCTACCAGCACTTAAAGAAGGGATTTTGTATGATCTGTGTGATTCTATGTGCTATATACGATTATTAGTAGTGACTCCAGTGARTCAGAGCGCGGCTGCGGGTCTGAAATGACGTTTATTCGGATAAAATTCAGATTGAAAGCGCCGCAGGAATCGGGGCCGGCGGCACCTGCCCGGTGTGGGCGCGCGGCCGGCAGGGGGCGCTGTCTGTACGCGCACGTGCCCCAGGTGTGTCCGTGGGGTCATCGTGCGGCTCCCAAAAAATCCCGGGAAAAATCACTCCCATCCGAGTAAATGAAAAACTAATTGCCTCTCGCACTCCATTCAGGTGCATTCCAGGAGTTTTCGAGGAGAGCTGAGCGGTTGAAAGCGTGGTGAGGTTAAAAGCACGRGGTTTGAGGTGACCTGAGGGGTCAAGCACAAATCTACCCAGACTTTTTATCATCCTGCCATTCCAGTAGYTGGAAAAATTATTACTCAGGATCTCATTGTTTCATCAAAAATGATGTCTTTTCTTGTTCTTTTGATATTATAAAGTTGCTGATGCTGGATTTTATAATAGAAACTAAGAACAATTAACTACTGCCCTTTTGTGCCTTTTTGGGTCTGACAATAATGCTTCATCGTCTTGCTAAGTTCTATAGTGATTTTGTTTGAAACACAGACCRGGCATCACTTTCTTTTGCAGCCTATATGTGGATAAGAAATGAAAAATGATGAGTGGATAATTATTAAATAKGTATACTTCCCATGGAGTATCCAGCCAAAGGAACAGTAATCTGAATTGCAGCAAAAATAATTCTGATGTACTGCTGCAATGTAGAAAAGATTCACARCTCTACCTTCCGTTTTCATAGGAGTGCTGTTCTGTTATAGAATTATACTGGCACTTTTGGGTCCTTGTTTTCTTATAAATGTATATTATACTGTAAACTTAGGAACCTTTTCATTTATTCATGAGATAGAATTTAATATGGTGATGATTTCTAGCCTTTATGAGTTGCATCTTAACTAGCATGGCTCTAATGGTGATGGCAGTGATTCTGGGGGTTTTTTTAAGTTCACTTGTTTGAGCACAACTGTTCTAATACTATTCTCAATTATTCATTCTTCATTCAGCATTTGCATCTTGCTAATCACTAATGCTTATCCCTGAAAGTGTATTTATTTTCAAAATTACAAAGCAAGGCAGGGCAATTCCTTTCCTTTCAAGTGACTGGAAGAAGTTGTAGAAGAAAACCAGGTCTTTGGGTGCCCCAAACCTGATTGTGTTTTAAACCCAGGCATGTGGCTCTAATTGCAGAGTTTGGCAGTGGTGGCAGAATGAGATTTAAACAAATTGTTGTCACACTACAGTAAATCAAAAGAATCTCCTTGCGTTTGTATCACGGTGTGTAATCATAATAAGCGGCACGGTGATTTAATAAAATCTTCTTGTCACTAAAAATAAAAAGGAAATAATTGGTGAGAGAGAGTTAAGTTAACAGATGACTGCAGTCAGCATCCTCTCAACCTGGAAATGGGAATGTGAAGGTCACCCCCATCTTGCCTGACAAAAGCAGAACGTTTTGTTGGTAAACAAATTAATCTTTTGAAAGGTCACCATTTGTTTTAAGTTTTTATCCAGTTCTTGTCATCTGGAATTGGAGATTGACTGTCATTTTGCAAGGCGGGGGTGCCACCAGAGCTGCTGAAGCTGTTTGCGTGCATATCAGCATTCCCTGAAAAAACTCAGTGCCTGATTGGGATGCCATGGGCTGCTGGTTTACAGCTGGCTCTGGACAGGAATGGAGGCTCATCCCTGAATTCCAATAAGTTGATCCTACACATCCTGCCTCRTGTAAACTGGCCCTCTGCCCACAAGTAAAACATATTGTGGTTTAAGCCAGCAATTATCTTTCGTTTCTTCCTTCTGTGCTGCTTCTGTTGCCCGTTTCAAAAAGCAGATGTGGGATTCACCCAAGTTGTCCCTCTATTCTCTTTCACACCTGTTAGGGAGGAATTCTGATGGAGCTGGATTTCTCGGAGAGCTACAGAGCAGGAGTTCAGCAAAGGGGCAAAGCTTGATTTTTCCAAGCATATGGAAAATTGACAGTTCAGAGCCATCTCTGRTCACTTTAAGAGCTTAAAGAATAAGAATCACATAAAACCTGTTGTTAAAATGCAATTCCCAATTTCTTCCAATTAAACTTGCCTTCTCCAAGCTCTTTCCTGCCAGTTTCCTGAACATGCTGAAAAGTGACCTTAGTTCCATTTATTTTATTTTGCTGTGCTTCCTCCTTCCATTTATAGGGGGAAATGCTGCGTCCATCAAATCTTGACAGGAACTTCTTACCAACAAAGATGGCAGTTTGGAGAAGATAGATGGAATGATAAATTAATCTGTTATATCCCTTTTTTTTACCATCTCTATCAAACCCTCTGATTTTCTTATATTTACCAAATCTGTCTATTCCTGGTTTATAAACTCTAGCCTTTATACACCATACTCATCTTTTCCCTGTATTTAATACCAGTCTCTATTCTTCTACTGGAGGAAAAAATACTCTAAAAGCTATTTACAAAAAAAAAAGAAGAGATGTTCTGGTTAAATATTGCTAGGTAAAAAGAAAACAAATAGAAAACTAATCAGAAAAATCCCTGTGGTGTTCCAACAAGTGCCCTATTTAAAATGAAGCAAAAAGAAAAAATAAAGTGGGAGAGGTTTATCCACAGGAGAAAAACACTTTAGAAAGGGTAATAGAATTGTTTTTCTTGTGTCCCAGGTTAATTACACTCAGAAGCACTTGAAATGAAAAAATAGTTTTTTAGCACACTCCAAGCATATTTTAAGGCAAGTCAGCCTTAGTCTGCCCTGCAATTTAAGTGCTCCTTTTCAKCCCTATAAAACTGAACTTTAAAAATGCCCCTGATGAAGCAGTAAAGCTAAAAGTAAACCTTTGTGTTGCAGTACTTAATATTATTTTTAAGGTCCTGTTGTTGTTGTTGTTGTGTTGGCTTAATTTTAGAGAAAATAACTCCCAAAGTGGAAGCAGTTTGGCAGTTTTGCTTTGATATCTCACAGAATTCTTCAAGAGGGAGCTGATGCAGCAATGAGGGTGCTGAAAGAAAATGGAAGGAGGTGCAGGGATTGGGTGGAATTTTCTTGGGGMGCTCTTGTGGATCAGCTCCATGGTTCCACTCTGCTGCCTGTAAGGAAGTGAATGATGGCACTGAGCAGAGTGAATGTGAGATTAAATCACATTTCTGTTGCATCAGTCCTTGTTTTAACATCATACCTGCCATGGACTTTATAGAAATTAAAGGATACAGCAAAGAAGAATTAAATATCTRTCTCCAATTGAAAAAAACTCCAAGCCTCCAGGCTGCTTTTGAACTCACACACTCTACCTGAACTCCTTTTCCYTGTAGCTTATTGCATCTCTATGAAYACAATGAAAATAAATATATTCCATGAGCTGTTTATCATAATAACACTCATAACTAGGGTTTAAATTAGGATAGAACTGACCAGGAGTAAAATCAGTGCTGCCTTACTGACCCATCAGCAACAGCCTGGAAGAAGAATCACTGTTTAATTCAATTTCTTGCCTTTTTATGTATTTTTGTTGTGGCCTCAGCAAAATGCTGAGGCTGAGGGTGAGCAGAAAAGTATGGTTTATATTTTCTTTATCTCAGTATCAAGCCATTTGCAGGCAGCTGGTATAAAGTTGATCTTTGTTCCATRGTTATTGCTCTTTTCTTGGAACACCAGGACATGAGGATTCATCCACCTCCATCCCTTAAAGCAGAATTTTCCATATTGGCCGTAATAAAATGAGGGCCTATTATTTCCCTGAAAGGTTCTCTATTATTATAAGAAGTCCTGATTTTCTTTCTCCCTAATCTCTTGTGGGCAGTGTTGTTAGACGAACTGGGAGGAAAGATTAGAATAGTTAATTTTGATCTGTCTTATTTCCTTCTTAGGATTGTGAGCAATTCTTTAGGGTTGATTCTCCCTTTCTAGAAGGTTGATGGGTGATGTTATTCAGTAATTAGGGCATAACAGTGATCCAAGATCCCAATCATGGCTGGGATCCTGTTGTACTAAAAGCTTGATAATCACTCATTAAAAGCTAATATTTAAAAGTACTTCTTTTTCTGTCGGGTTCCTTGTCTGTGTATGTATTTTATATTTTTTAAGACTGTTCTGTCAAGAAACATTGTATTTATACCACTCTTCTTAAAACTGAGCAAACTTCCTGAGATTCCTTTGTTAATAACTACCCAGATTTGCATTGCAAAAATCACAAAACATCAATTGAATGTAATTAACTTCATTTTAAATTACTGAAGTAACAACAGTAGACAATAYTGTGGCATGTTCATAAGTAGTAAAAGGAGTGGTGCACTGTTAAATCTTAATGACACAGTCACAGCAGAAATTCTATTTATTATTTATTGCTGCAGGAATAGAGAAGTGTCTGTAAATCCCAGATTTCCTTTTGCTAAAAGGAGGTTCTGTCTCTTCCCAGATGTGCAGTGAGAAGACAGGGAAAGGTCTCACACTTCCCAACCCTTGGGCTTTGTCYGCCTTTCACTGCTTGGGTTCTGCCTTGCCCTTGGTAGAAGGAGGCACCCCAAAAGGTGAGTCCCAGAGCCCCCYTGGGTGCTGCTGGGCTGCTGTTTGCAGCAGATATCTGGGAACTGAATTTTCTGCCACCTCAAACTTGTAAGAATTGTGATGTTAAATGTTGCAAAGGGTAGRAATCAACTTCAGGGTGTTTACTCCAAGKAGTAGCTAATGCAGGGTGTAGTTGAGCATCTTCCTGAGCCAGTTCTCATAACTCACAGGGTTCAGCTACTGCTGGAAACAAGAATTTTGTGTGTGGTGGAGGTTCTTGTAYAAATAACAGTCAAAATAAACTACCRTGATTAACAGCTGATAATTAATTGTTCAATCTTAACTAAACTTGCACTCGGGCTGTTTCAGCAATCAGTTTATATTCATAATTGCATGATTATATTGTGCTTTACAAGAGTTAATTCTCAGCCATTCTGCATATTAAATTGCATTGTGCAAGCATCTAATTATAGATCCCCAACATGTCATTCCCTTTCAGAAATAGCACTGGTACAATACTTTGTGYGTATTTATCAATTTTTATAGGCAAAGCTCATGCTTCTTCAAGGTAAAATATTGAATATTGAAAGATAGGAGTCTTTCAATTAAAGGAAAGTGCTGCTTTTGTAGTTCTGATGTAGAACTTGGGTCTGCCTTTGCTTAATTCTTTCTTCATTGCTACAAATTCCTTTTCTTTCCTAGCTGGAATTGTTCAGGAATGTCATCTTCTTGTAGGTCCTCTGAGCCTAACCAACCCAAGGCTCWTCCTTCCAGCAGCAAAGACAGCTCTGCCAGCTTCTCCTGTTGCATCCAAAGCAGCACCTTGCCCTGAATTTCCCAGRCAGCACAAGAAATCAGCTGGAGGTGAGTACAAAATGTTGATAATAACCATCAGCTTCACTCTTGGGCCCTGGTTTTATCTCCCAGGGAAATTCTCTGTGATGAACACTCAGCAAATTCTGAGGGGCAGAAAGCACATGAGCATCCTGTGTCTTGCAGCTGAATAAGAATCAGATTTCTTCATGCCTGGGAGGGTCTGGATCCTGWTCATCTCTGGGATCCTCCTGAGTTYCTACCTGCACATTTCAAATTTGAAGCACCTGAATCCAAAGCTGTGACGGTGTCAGGCCAGCGGTGCTGTAAATCATGGCTTTCACCAGCTGATCATGACATGAATTTGCAATGTGATTAAATGAATAACTGACAATAAATGAATCAAACCTGCAGTGCATGTTTTTCTTTGCACAGGAGAGATCAGTAGCAGGCTGGAGAACACAGACACCAGCACTTTCCCAAAGCCAAAGGAAGCCATTTATGGCACACATTCCTCCAGTAAAGGTAACACTGCACCGCTTCCATCCAGCAGTTCCATGGTTTCAACAACGAAATCAAAGCCAGAGTGGATGTATCCAGCTCAGCAGTTGAAATCTCAGGTGCACGTTCCTGCTCACACACAGGTATTTGATGGAATGAATCACTTAATGAGGATAATGAGGTTTTTATTCATGTTTTTAATACTGTCTTTGCCAGAGCTGGTTTAGGAAATGACTGTAAATCAAAGAGGAGTTTGAACCACATCCAGTAAATAGTAAATGTTGAAATAAAGTAAGAAATATTTAATGCATTCCCAATTTCTACTTTCTCAAGTCTTCTTCCTGAATTTGTCTGTTTTTTTTTAACAGAATGTTAGAAAATTAGTTTAGAAAGGCTGTTAG